TTTTAATACTTTGTGATAATTTTCGTATTTATCCAAATGTGTTAAACGATTTTGGAGTATATCCAATTGACCACATATATGAAATATTAGAAGACTGAGAAAATTGTCAATTCCAACATAGGCCATCATGGCGATAGGTATATAGATGGCTTGACTAATAAATGTGAATTCATATTGTGGGCTTTTCGTTATATCGTAAATATAATGGGTTTGTAAAGGCATTGGTCTTCCCGGATCAGTTATATTGGAAGTCAATCTGATTGTCATCCCAAAAATAGGCGGTATGGTAATGTAGATGCACGTTATCCCCATTATGCTATAGGAGCATATAAGAAGTGTGCGTGCACTTTGAGCTCTTCGGATCATAAAATTTCTCCCTTGAGCACTTTTCGGCTTTATCCAATCTTTCGCAAACATATTCATAATTGGTATAATAGCTTAAAATATTAAATAATATATAATTATACAAAATATGTATTAGATAATTCAATACATATTCTTTATAATTCAAATTTAAAAATTAAAAACTCAAGAAGGAATTAATCTTAGGAAATAATCTTATTATTTATCCATCTTTTGTAAAAAACAATATTATAATTTAAAAAAATAAGTTATTAAAAAATATAATAAGATGACATGTTATGAATATATGAATTGTAATATAAAAATTAATTTTATTTAAATAAAAAAATGAAATTATGCATGCTTTTAAAGTACATATTATTAATGTTAAACGTTTAATATATATAAATATTGGCTATAATATTTGTATAGTTTATATTTATGATCAATAATAATTTACCTTCTTTTTTCCACCAAAAATTAATGATTCTAATAACGCTGCTAATGCCTGCTAAAGTAAATTGTAAATTATCTAACATTAGCAACATATCTCCAAAAATTTTTATCAACGAATGTATACAAGGAATAATGATGAAAAATATCATTCCCAGCGAGGTGATAAATACTCGAGAATTACATATTAACTTTTGCCGAGAATTTCGTACTGTTTTAGGCCAAAGTCCAAGCAAATTTAAAGTAAAACGATTTAAGTTCACTGCCCATTCAAAATCTATATGCAAAAAATTTAATAAGGCTTTGAATTTTATATATAAGAAAATATATTAATTATATTAATTCTAAATATATAAAATTAAATATATAAGTAATAAATATATGTAAAATTTTACTTAATCAGACGCAAAAATAATGCTTAAGAACTTTTCGATAATCATGCAAATTGTTTCAAATTGTTATAAAAATGTATCTAAAGAAAGTTAATTTTATGATTGATATTTTGTTACATTAGTTTAATGGATTACCAACAAATACGATGTTATAAAAACACTAGTTTAACTTTTTTTAGTAATGTGAAAATAAGATTAAGATAAGATTTATAAACTTTTATTTAAGATAAGATTTATAAACCTTTTCACTGTTTGTATAAAATGAAAAAATATTTTTATAAAAACTTTTTCAATTACTATTACAATGATCAAAAGAACAAGTACCTTGATATCCGTCGTATTTAGAATTTTTCATGTCGAATGTCATCTAGAAACTAGCGTCTGATTCTCTCTCATGAATCGACATTACCTCGCATTCAGTAAAAAGCATTTCTTGCGCATGCTCTCAATAATAGTTTTTAAAAAGACTAGAGGGTTAACTTTATAGCAAAGTATATTAAATATTCTGCAATCGTGTTTCAAGTTTTCGTAATTTAATATCAAAACATTTCCGAACAAAAGTTTATAATAACAGACAATCATATTAGCAAAAAGAACACTCGTCTATACATCCGTTGTTTCCTTACGTTTTTATAATCAGCTATATGTCTTTTATAAGTGTTATCAGCAAATTTATGTACAGTACTATTATGATATATTCGTTTGTGAAGTACTTCTAGTACTTGTTTCATCATATCTTTTTGTAAATT